CCCTCTTGCCTCCCAAGATGAAGTTCATCACTCCAATGTGGCACCCAAATAGTATGCTTCTCCTCACATATGGACCCGTTTCATGGTTTCCTGACCAGCCTCGTGTAGTCTATCCCGACGGAACGCTCTGCATCTCGATCCTTCATGATCCTGGAGAAGATCAGTATGGATACGAAGATGCTGGAGAACGATGGCTCCCAGTTCACACTGTCGAATCGATTGTGAGTGACTCACCATTTCTATAGAACGTGACACTGACTCGACGCCTTGCTTCTAGCTCGTCAGCGTTATTTCATTACTCAGCTCTGATAAACCCAATCTGGACAGCCCAGCAAACGTTGATGGTGCCAAGGAGGTCAGAGAGAACTTTGATGGTTTGTACTACACTGTGCCCACCTAGCGTATACTGGGTCTTCTTGTATCGCGTTACTAATAATTATTTACCTGTAGGTTACAAGAAGAAGGTACGCCGTCTCGCGCGCAAGAGCGCAGAGGAGGCCTGGGACTGAGGTCCTCACACTGAGCCATATTACGAATGCCGAAGCTGCTTCGTGCTCCATGTTATTGAGACTACTGTACATTCCTGCGATTTCCCTTCTCATAGCTTCATAAACTCCCTTCTGCATTGCTATCACCATCCTGTCACATTGAATTGGTCCCCATGTGCTTCGAATGAAATCTACATTTATCACCAATATTGTTCTAATTGAAATTCTAGTGAACAAGCTTTCGTCAAACTATCAGTTTATTATACGGATTTTCGGCTACGCACCCTACACCGTGACTGATATCATCCATCGATATCCGAAGTAAAGTGTGGTTAAATATTGACCGTACGTATCTAAAGAATAGGATCCTACTGAATTGATGGGCCCTGGACCACCAGGTTGAGGAGCGTCTCGGCACATGACATCATATCCCATGTCTCCGACTTAAATACCCCCCATCTCGAGCTTTTGTCGTCCTTCTCCACTCTTACGTCTCTTCCTCTCTCTTCTCTATTTTCACGACTGATCTGCTTTGACCCAAGCGGATTCACTAACGACAACTATCTAATTCAAGATTTTTGGAACGACCGCGCCATTCATAGTAAACGTCCGGCGTAGAGTTCACGTAACACGAGTACTACATATACAATAATCTTACAAGCGATATACGGACATTTATTTCTATCAGAATATCAAGTTAAAGGAACACGACGAAACCACGAGATCTACACCACAACATTAACCTCAAAATGATTTATATGCGCCAGATTCAAACAATTCTCCTTCTGAGCATCTTTCTTATATCCCAACCAAGTCAAACTACTGCTATACCAAGCTTGTTTCCTTCTCCTATTATTGGTGGTGGAGGTGGAGGAGGCGAGTTGCGGCTACAACGAAGGGCAGAGGACATCGAATCTCTAGAGAAGAGAGCGCCGAGTAACGTGACCTCTATAAACAAGGCAGGACTCGGATGGAACAATCCGCAGACCACTCCTATGGCTCCTTTCTTGAGGAGTGGAAAGGTTGGATGGTGAGTGGAGCCTTTATTGTTCTCTCTTATCGGAAAGGTGCCTTTATTCAATTTATCGATAGGTACTATACATGGTCATCTTGGGCAAATGATCAAGGGAAGAATCTGGACTTTGCTCCTCTCCTCTGGGGAAAAGACGACATTGACGTCTGGAAGACGGCGATCAGTGGCAGACTAAAGCCCTTGTTCCAGAACAAGGGTATCACCTGTGTTCTCGGATTCAACGAGTAAGCGCCACCTTCATATCTCAAGTACCAACACTAAGATTCCGTTGGGAAATAGACCACAGGAACTGGGGCAGTCTAACCTTACGGTAGCAGAAGCAAAGACATTGTGGATGGAAAATATAAAGCCGCTCAAGACGCAGTACGGTGTCCGTTTGGGATCTCCAGCGACCAGCAGTCACCCGTCTGGCAAGAACTGGACCAGAGACTTTTTGGCCGAATGTGGCACAGATTGTGGTGTCGACTTTATCGCTTTACGTGCGTTTTCTACTTGAACAAACTACTGTGGCTAGTGTGAACTGAACCAATCATATAGATTATTATGGCACTAATGCGACCGTGATGATCAACTATATCACCGACTTTCACAACACCTTCCAAATGCCTATATGGGTGACCGAGTGGGCTTGTCAAGACTATTCGGGTACGAATGATCAATGCACCCAAGAGGAAGTCCGGCAATACATGAACGCTACCCAAACATTTATGGACAGTGTCGACTGGTAAGAGTTTCCCCAAGACAAATCGCTAAAGAACAAAAGTGCTTACAAAATTTACAGGGTAGAAAGGTATTCATGGTTCGGTGCACTCGTCGACAACCCCATCACAGCGACAAACGACCTGCTCACGAATGGCGGTTCCATCACCGCGCTAGGGTACCAATACACTAATGCGACGCGAGACCAAATCCAACAAGGTAATGCGTCTACATCCACGTCTGTCACCCGTATCACCGCCAGTACGAGTTCGGGTACCCGAACTTTAGACATCATCTCGCCTGTCAAGACGACCGATGCCTCTGGTAATTCGTGCTTTTCGTTATTGTAGATGATGTTCGACGTGTACTGACGTCTTTTGTTTCATGCTCGCTATAGACAATGGCAGTTATTACCCCGAAGTTCATGTCAGCGCTGCTATTCGAAGTCAACCTCAGTCCTTTTCGACAATCTCGTGGAGTCTTGCGCTATGCGCGATTCTGGGATGGACAACGGTCATGGCAAGCCTATAATAGAACCGGGACTGCAAGGGAGCTCAAGGACAATGATTGGATGTAGCTCAAACAAGATAATGTAGATCAATCGAGCAATTTAATTCCGAGTAATGAATATACCCTTTCAAAATATGTCTTGTTTTAAAGTCATCATTAGTTCCTCTCCTAAGTTGGACATCCGGCTGCTAACGGGGCATACGGTCTCAATGCTATCCTCAGAAGGAATCAGAGTTGTAGTTTATTCTTTGGTTCAAAATAGCTTGGGAATTCATAGTTAGGGGCAACAAATACCTAATTTGCGGGGGAAAAGGTCCATGCGCATGGAGAAGGGAAGACGAGGATCCATGGAAAAGAACAAGGGGGGAGAGATGATGTACACTAAAGATGGATAGAAAATGCCAAAATGCATTGTAAGAGATGGGAGTGGCCGCGGGATATCGGCGTCGTGGGA